ATATATATATATATATATATATCCCTTAAAAGGTACGCCACTTGTAACAGCCCAATTTTTACTGAGTCAATAGCCCAATTAAGGTGGTTTAGTAGCACGGAACGAGCCGTTCCAAATTACTAAATAGACCTACTTTTGGGAGCCCGGAACGGGCCGTTCCGGATTTGGAACAGGCCGTTCCAAACCATAAAATTTTTCTATGATTCTTAGTTGGGAACGGGCCGTTCCCAGCTGGAACAGGCCGTTCCGAATTTCAGAAATGGCTTTTGAACCTTATTTGAGAACGGGTCGTTCCGGTTTCGGAACGGGTCGTTCCTAAATATGACCATTGAGAGTTTTAATGCAAACCCCAGAATGGGCCATTCTAGTTTGAGAACGGGCCGTTCTGGATGTGAATCGGGTCGTTCCGGATTTGAAACAGGTCGTTCCCCGAATCCGGATGCCTATAAATTGAGTGCTCTGGCACTCCTAAAATCATATTTTTTCAGTTCTGACTTCTTTCAGTTCTGACTTCTTTCTTCTACATTCTCTTCTTTCCCTTTTACACTCTCTGAAGATTGAGGGGCACTTAGAGGAGGAGGCCAAGAGATCTCTGTTTTGGTTTCAACTGTTGTTTATCCAGATTGAAGGGCACTTAGAGGAGGAGAGCAAGAGATCTCTGTCTGGATGTGAATTTTACACATGACTTGAGATTTCAGAACGGGTCGTTCCGGATTTGAAACAGGTCGTTCCGCGAATCCTGATGCCTATAAATTGAGTGCTCTGGCACTCCTAAAATCATATTTTTTCAGTTCTGACTTCTTTCAGTTCTGACTTCTTTCTTCTACATTCTCTTCTTTCCCTTCTACACTCTCTGAAGATTGAGGGGCACTTAGAGGAGGAGACCAAGAGATCTCTGTTTTGGTTTCAACTGCTGTTTATCCAGATTGAGGGGCACTTAGAGGAGGAGAGCAAGAGATCTCTGTTTGGTTTCAATTGCTGTTTATCCAGGTACGGGGGAAAAGGGAATTATTTATATGTAGAGTTACATGAAGGAATTGGGTAGAGGAAGAGCCCTTAAGATTATGAGTAATTTTATAATTATTTTTGTTTGGAGAATTATTGGTTTTATGTGATTCTGTATGAATTTAGGATTATGAATATATATTTTATTTGTAAAAATGATGCTCTGGGAGAGAGAACGAAATTATAGAAAAGTGCATGTAAGTTAGGTTTTGGAAAAATTGGATTATTTCTGTTTGAGAAATTGATGATCCCATTAGATTCT